AGTTAATTAGATGTTGTTAATTCTATAGGTATAAAAAGAAACTCAGCTTTGGAAACTTTGGTTCTAATCCTGGCTCACTTCAACCTTCGCTTAAATTTGTTGTTTTGTTTTGTTTTGTTTTTGTTTTTTTGGTCTGTTTTTTTTTTTTTTTGGTACTGGGAATTGAATGCAGAGGTACCCAACCACTGAGTGAGTCACATCCCCAGCCATTTTTCGTATTTTTTTAGAGACAGGGTATTGCTGAATTGCTTAGGGCCTCACTAAGTTGCTGAGGCTGGCTTTGAACCTGCCATCCTGCCTCAGCCTCCAGCCACTGGGATTACAGGCATGTGCCACCATCCTGAATGGCTTTAATATAAATAGCAGACTGTCCTGTAATACCAAGTAATAACCAGGGCCAATGATCAATCTAGTGAGTAGCCAATCAGCCATAGAGACATATGTCAAGATCCAAGTTCCAACACATTTCTGGAGTTGATAAACTTTAGCCACGGATTCCAGAGAACGTAATACATCATGAGTACTATCCTGGCCACCCTGAGCAATAAGAACAAGCCATCAAAGCTTCTAAGAAGGGCACACTTAACATCCTTATACTACCCACAAATTTTTTTAAATGCCTAAAACTATAAATTACTTTATTGACAAGAGAACAAATTTTAATGAGATGCCCTATATGATGTATAAATTCCTGTTCATCTGTATCTATTTATCAAAAATGTTTCTATCATTAAACCTTCTCACTTCTCCTTTTCTGTTCCACCATAATGTAACTCCTGCCTCCTTGTTCCTTAAGTCAGATTAATTTTTTTTTACAAATTAACCACTCCTTTTTTCCCTCACCCTAATTTCATAATTGCTTCAGATAATTCTACCAGCTACCATTGGTCCATGGGTTGGTGGCACGAGAGATACCTTATCTCACTCAGCTACATAGCCATAGGGATAGGAAAGTGGGACTGGTCTGCTCTAGGTCAGAGCGCTGCAGTGAGGATTGAAAGCCAGGTGGAGGTGGATTCCAAAGTCACCAGGCTCCCTCCCACCAGAGATGGAACTACCACCTTCCCAAACTAGATGTACATTCTGTCGTCTAAACAAACCTACCTATATTCTCCATCAGCCACCTGTTTGCTAACTCTACATTAAATAAACCACCTTGGGCCTAGAACTCACTGGAAAAGGCAGGGGTGGAGAAAGGAAGCAGGTGAGAAATCCGCAGAAAAGGATTGGGGGAAGGGTGGCAGTGACTAGCGCCCAGACATCCTGGACCCCTGCTGCCTTCCCACTCAGCTGCTGGCTCCTTCCCTCCGTTCAAAAGCTGGTCCGTCCAGTCCAAGGYCACTAACCCCACAACCACGGTGACTTTGACAACTTGCCTCTGGAGTAAAGCTTCCTTTATGCAGCAAAGAARGCTCTGAAATAAAGATGCTCTGCAACCGGCTGTTAGCATTTTCACCTTTTTAAAAACGATGGCCAGGCTTGAAGTTTCTAAACTTTACCAGTAATAAAATGAGTGACAGAAGAACGTCCTGAAGCACGATTTGCAGTTGACTACTTTGTAAAAATAAAAATAATAATAATAATAATAATAATTGTGATTTCCATCCAAACCGTCCAACAGTAGCAGGTTTCCTGGAAGCAGGAGACCGGGAGGCTGCCTCG